TTTTCTATAAATTCTTAACACATCGATCTAAAGAAACCTAATTTCTTGACTGGCAATGTCTTTTTTCTCATAGATGACATCTTTGTTCTGTCTCAGGCACCATAGCTATACTGCTCGCTTGGATAGGGGGGGGGGGGGGGGGCAATTCACAACCCTCACCACTAGATGTCACTAAAACTTACACACTGAACCTTTAAGGTCGCAGGTGACAATTCAAAATAGTATAAAAATATAACGGAATATATCGGCAGCTTGTTGTTTTAGCTTATGTTACTTTTTTGGCAATTTGGCACATTTGTTTCTTCTGTATTTGTTTTCTTACTGTGCATTGTTTCATTTGTTATTTAACACATCTTGTTGCTGTTTTTCAAAACATTTTTAACAAAAGCTTTCAATCAGTGATGGAGACAATCTGATTCTGACCTGTCCCCGGCGTCCCCAGCGTGAATGATCCATCCAGGCTGTGATCGGTCGGTTCACAGAAAGAGACATTGACGAGCTACTTTCTTGCACACGGCTGCATGAGAGGCACCCGAGCTTCTCGTCTCTCTCCGCTGACAGAGATTGGCCGGCAGGCGTGAACGGGAACAGGCGAGCGTCACGTAGCGCCCAGAGAACCTGATATGGAGAGGGCAGAGGAGAGGCAGCTTGTGAGAAGTGCCAGTACGCAAGAAAATGTCCAGGTACGCCAAAGAGTAGTGCCTACAGGGTCAACAAAATGGAAAGGGTTCATCTGCTGGTTAGTGTGGCTTAATGTTGGTGCAATAGGAAAGGCCTGGTGTCCCACTCACAGATTGAAGCTCAGACACATAAAGTAAAGTAAGATTTGTTCAGCTGCAGTACCTGTGTCCACTCCCCTCACTTTTAAATTCATATAATAATTTATTTTTATATTATATGTGTATCAGTATTACAGCGATTGCTGGAAACTGAGCAGATATACAGGAGTGGTTAATGTAAGGTCTGGCTCAACGGTCCTCTGGCAGTATTTGTACTCAGTGATGAGTCACCCGTGTGTCTTTTCCCCGCCAGCCGCCGCTCTGCACTGTTTATTTAACTCTGTCATAATGCTGTGTTGTGACACTTCCTTCTGTCTTTCAGAGTATCAGAGGGGAGCTGTCAGAGGATTAAAAAAATAGCAGTTAGTTGCAACAAAACACACTCCACATTAAAGCAAATTGCTTCGTGCGATTGTTGATAGTTTCTCATTGTTGCGTCGCTCTCGGTTGGAGCTGTGATGTTGATTGTGGCTGAAGGGGCCTTCAGATGACTGATAAGCGTTGATGAATGAAAATGGAAATGCTTTTCAGCGTTTTCCCTTCAAAGGGAAATCAAATACGCAGGATGGAGAGGGGAGAGCAGAGGAGGGAGAATATTTGCCTTTTTGCAATTAACAAGATATGTTCTCTTTTTTTTTGTGGTCAGAAAAATGGAAATGGCTTTTAAGGTCGTAAAGGTCGAGCGCATCGAAGCATGGTGGCTGCGCAATTACTCTTCAGGCAGCAGCCTGATTGGGGGGAGGACAGGGGGGTCCGGGCGCGAACCAACGGTCAAATTAACGAGACGGCTGGCTCCCTGTTGAAAAGATCACATGTGATTACCGTACATCAAACAGACAGAGCACTCAAATTATCTCCTCTCTCACTGTGAAGTCGGATAAAAAGGGATAAAACGCAGACGGACTGATTAGTTAAAGGCTTTAAATGTCAAAACTTTTACTGTCCACAGCTTGAATGAATCTGCTTCTCCTCTGCTCAGGGGACAGGTGGGGGGTCGTCCTCCAGTTTACACCGACTACTTCCAATGACTGCCCTCATGACATAATTGAGGACATACTCGATACCGTTGGAGTCCTCTCAGATGACCAGCCATGCTTTTTATTCATTTGTGTGTCAATAAATCTAAGTTCTAAATATTGTGAAATATCGTCAGCTTCATTTCTATGCTGTCATACTGGGAGCTTCTCAATTGAACCACTACAACCCCCAGTTTTTCCCTCTGTGAGTCTCAGGAGCTGTGTTGGAAGTGCTGACAGAGGTTAAATAACTGGAGGTCATCACTTATTCACTTTGATGATGACGATGATTTTCCAGTTATGGAAAGTCAAATCAGCAGCCTTGATAACATCTGATATTGATCACTGGGTGTTGAATATTTTACAAACCTTTTAAAATAAAAAGAGAGAAAGAAAAAAAAAAGCATCATTCAGTTTTCTGTGTTTCATGTTTGTTTCCGCTGCCTGCAGCTAAATGTGACGTCTCATCATTGTTCTAGCGTATCCAGCCAAAATTATTTCAGTGATCTAAAACATCAACAAAATCAGGACCAAAGTTCACAAGTCACAGAGAGAGCTTACCTTAAGCATTAAACTTCAACTGAAGGCTCAAACTGTCAGCGTTAAGAGGAGTAGGAGAAGAACCTAGATCTTAAACTTAAAGGATATATAATAATTTTCCCTATTTTTAAACCTGGGCCCTATTTTCACATATTTTGGTGTCAAGATGACTAACAGGTTTGCGTGCAGTACATGCTGCAGCTGCAGCGGCTGCAGCATATTCCTTCTGGCAATTGTCCCAGTCAAAATTACATCCAAAAAATTGCCTCTTTTTGCCACCGACAGGCTCAGACTGTTATATCAGGTGTCTGACAACATCATGGAAAGGACAGGGATCCACAGTAAGTTGTCACACCCTTTGTTTTTTACCAGGAAACTGAAGTCTCACTCAAGGACAATTCCCGCTCTGAAATCTCGTGAGAGGCGAGCTTTTGCAAGAAGACGACGGTGGAGAGAGAGGAGTTCCACAGAAGAATGATACTGTGATGGTACCAGAACAAAGGTACACGTCATTGTTTAACCGTCGCCTGATGGGATAGAGGTTCTAATCATATATTTTTTATTTCACCCTGTTTTTTAATCATTTCACAAGAGTCAGTTTGTGTTATGTCTTCAGTCTGGCCGTGTGATGTTCTGTTTTTTGTTTCCAGTCAACGATACTGAATGGTAATGGTAAAGAATTTAATTTTGGAGTCTTGAGTCGATCTTGGGCTGGAGGGTCTGTGACTGAGTTTCCATTGCAAAAGGGTCATAACTCAAAATACGCAAAGTCATGCGCGAGTTCTAAGATGCTCATCAGAAATCGACCCACACAGACTTCTTGTTGGTCTTCTTGGATGCAGACAGGTGAGGAAACCTGCAGCACTCAGAGATGTGACACTTCAGCACAGGATGCAATCACCGTACACTGAAACACTCTGAATCAAAGTTAGATTTAAAAGTATTTGTGTTATTAGAAAGCTGCAGGGTGGTGATCTGTTTTAGACCATTTGCATCGCCCTTGAATGAAAATGGGAGGAACACGCACACACACAGAGAGCGAAGCACCTTCAGAAGTCTCTCCCTGCGCTGTAATGATCTTCTTGTAGTGCTGCGGAAAGCCTCTGAAAATCTCTCCATCATTTTCCTCTCCTCTTCTCCCTGATGAGCAGAGCCATCCCTTCATCATCAGCTGCACCATAATGTACTTTAGTCTGGGGACGAGAGGAGAAAATGGAAGGGTAGATTGAAAACAGATTCGCTTATAAGCTGATCCTACATTAGGGGATGTATATAATACGCTGAAGTCATCAAGGGTTTGTTCACAACAATCAGAGTGATCCATCGCGATTCGACATGCTGCAGATGAACAGACAGAAACTTCATTCCTGCTGCAGGTTGGAGGGTTCAGCCAGGATCCTCCCTGTCTTCAGAACCAGGACAAACCCGAACATCCGACCAAGTTAACAGATCATATTCTAATTTTATACTGCAGATACTTCATGCTCCTGCAGACCATTTGAGCATCGGACTGATTTCCTTCTTTCAGTTTGTAATCACAGCAACATCCTCATGATTTTCCTCCATCTTCTGTTTCACTCTCATGCATGCCTTCCCACCTCTCCTATCGCTTCAGATCCTTTCCTGTCTTTTCCCACCATTCCTAGTTGATCCCCACAGCAAGTCGCACACCTGCTCCTCTGTCCCTCTATATATTAACCTCCCACTACTTGCTTCCTGCCAAATCATCCGTTGTGCCAACTTGTCTCGGCGTTTCAGTCTCTGCTCCGATTTGCCTGCCCGTCACTAGTTTGTGACCGTTACTTTTACCTACCTGCTTCCCTTCGACCCTTTGAAATTTGAACCTGTTCTGTCTTTGACTCCTGCTTTTCAGTCAACATCTAGTTTGTGGAAACTTCACAGTTTGTTTCTAAAAAATTAAATTGGCCAAGTATTGAAAGTTGTTTTAGGGTTATGCATTGGCAATTTAATACCATAACATTTTTGTGTAATTACCTTGAACGACGAACTTTGAGTGACATGATTTGTTTTATTGACATCCATGTTTATTTGGTTGGTCAGGCACTTCTGGATCATTAAGCATCTTGCAGCTGTGATTAATACTTGGGTGTTGATGTTGTGAGCTGTTTGGAAATAGGTTCTTACAGCAACTCCGATAGAACCTGAATGCAGCATTACCTCTTTCTTCGGCTCTCTGTGTTGTCTGCTCTGTTAAAAGCTTCCTACACAAAGAAATCACCTTCACTTTAAAGTCAAGAAGGATTCTGAAACTCTTTTTAGTGCTGCATTCAAGGACACTCCCACATCCAAGAAAGGTTGGATGCCAAAAAGTAGTGCACTCTCAGGTATCGTTGCTAGAAAAACAATGTCAGCTGCGGTATCATACTACAATAATATAACCATAACCAACAAACATGTATGTGAAGTTAAATACAGTAGATAAAATGTGTGTAAAATTGACTTGCAGATGTGTTTTAATTGCATCATGTTAGACAGTATATGAAGCACCTGTCTCCTCTTCCCCTGAACTACGATTTTCAAAATCAAAAAAAACAAAACACTGCAGCTGACTCCGCCTTCACTCCGCCTGATCAAGGCTTCAATCACTTTCACCTGCAGAGTGAAACAAAAAAGAAAGCTGTGAAAGTTTGTTTCTGGAAAAACAGATTTATTTTGTTCACAAATCTGACGGCATGCCAAAAACATTTTTCAAATGATTCTGATATTTTTGCTTCAAAGAGTTTGAGATGATTCTGAAAAGAGCATTCTCTCTGTTTTCACCCCTGTTGACATTCTGCAAAGTGTCATTTTAAAGGTCCATTCTCTGGCTCTTCCGGAGTGAAGGAGACTCTGTGTGTTGAGGCAGACTGAGCTTCAAGGCCAGTTTGATTTAGTTTCAGCCTGAATGGATTCAATGGATTTTCTGTGGAACAGCAACAGACTCACCACAGGCAAGCAGGTAAGGCCCTGACTTTTACTTTATAATTTTGAAATGAAAGATGTTTGTTGGATCTGAAGTATTTGTTGCTGCAGTATGGCCATAATTTGGGGAAAGGGGGAGACACTGTGATGATCTTTACATGTGTGTCCTGATATTAACTGCCTTGTTGCTTTCATGTTTTACCAAAATTCAGTTTGAGAAGAAGCAATAGGCTAATTAGTTTTGTTTCGGTAGTGATGTATTTGTCCTGATGACATTTTTTTTCAGTTGACACAAAAGCTGTGCTAGCTGTTGTTAAGGGGAGTCGATATTTTTCATGATGATTGAAAAACTATGTTGATTTAATAGTTGTTATTTCTGTGAGTTGAGCTGCGACAACCTCATCCATGCCATTACTCTGTCGCTCTTTTATTATAGATTGTATCACAGTAACAAGCTCAAGGCTCGATTCTTAATCCCACCTAAAGCTCTGATTAGTCAATTCTTTGTTTGGGGGGGGGGCCGCCAATGAGCAGATCTATAGGGGACTTCATTAAAATAATAATGTAAACAGCTCATTTTCACAGACTTAACCTGATGAACAGTGTAATGCTCTTTTTCATTTTCAAATTGTAAGAAAATTGCATTTTTATTTAAACTTATATTGCTTGCATAAATGGAAAGTCAATTACATTATTAATTACAGTTACATTATTAATATTTGAACATTGTCCGCTATACAGGGTATGAATTTGTAATTTTCATTTGGTCATATAAGTGATTTTGAAATTCTACTTGCATTGTTTAATTTTTTAATTTTTTACTCATATAACACACATAACCAAATTATAACGCTATTCTGGAATTATATTTTCATTTCATGTTAACATGCTAACATTTGTTTACAGTTAGCGTGTGCGGCATGTAATCTTAGTAAGTTACCTTAAACACGGTGAGCCAGGCGTGTTGATGGCATGTTTGCATGCTGGCTGCATTTGAATTAAGCGAATATTATTTGTGTTTGGCCTCGGTACGGTGGCCATTTTAGGATGTTTCATTCTTAACTCTTGATGTTCAGCTCTACATTATCAGTCTTGGCTCAACTTGAAGCCTAAATTGCACTTATTTTTAAATGTGCTTTGAACTTACTTATATCCAATTACTGATTATAGATGATTTGCCTACTTATGAACTAATCTCACAATGACCTAAGGATAAAGCTGGTATTTTTCTATGTAGTCTTTTGTTTTCCTGTGAATATATCTCATGAAATCGAAACCAACAGTGTCAGTCCGTCTCTCAATACTGTCTGACTTCCTGTCTGTTGCTCTCACCTCCAAACCCAGTGGTTCCTACTGTAGATGTAAATCTGAGTGTGTTCGTGGTCATGGTGCCACAGTGAGGCTCACTGATGTGTTTTTAATAGTTTCTCGATAACAAAGGAGCTCTGTGGCTCAGAGGAAGAAGATGTGTCCGGCTGTGGATGCACATGATGACAATAAGAGCGATAAAAGTAGTGTAAGCTGTATTCTTTTCTTTATAAAGGGCTGTTTATCTTTTTACTTGTAACTATTGGAAGAAGAAATTGTCGAGTTTGACTTCACGCAGCGTAGAAAACCTCCTCAAACGACATCACTGATACTTTAAAACTCAATGCAAAGTTTGATGAGAGTGACCATCTGACTCCATGAAAAGCATTATGTGATGAACGTGGTGAGTGTGTGTGTGTGTGTGTGTGTGTGTGTACATTTCTACAGGTTTATGATTGTGTTTTTTTTTAATATGGACTCAGAGTTTTAGCCTGATTGCATTTTCACATCAGTCGTCGAAACGCATTTAAAAAACAATTTGATATGAGACGGCGAGAGGCCAGGAGCTGCTGCGAACGGCCGAATAAATAAAAGCAATGATGATGCCAGCGTCAACCGGCGACCACAATCAATCATTAGCATACGTAAGAAAGTGTGCGTGTGAGGGAAAGGACAAAAAAGAAGACATAAAGTTGATGTCACTGATGTCTATTATCAATCATTTGCATATGGAGGTGTGTAGATGAGGAAAATGTCTCTGTGTGTGTATGTGTGGAAACTTCAAAATGCTCCATCTGTAATTCCTCATAGCAGTTAATTCATCATCTGTGCTGAGGCGTCGGGGCGTCCGCAGGCGTTTAGGACTAATATTTCAGCTCCCATTACAGCGGCAGAGCAGAGAGCCGAGCTCCGGGTTGACCTTTGACCTCAGCTGGGTGAATCGCAGCCTGACCCCATCCATCAATGCAGGGAGAGGGAAAATATTAAGAGGCTAACATTATTAGTTAGATTACGGGCGAGAGAGATTTAGCTGTCATTTTCAGCTGGCAGGGTGGGCGGCTGTCACGGGGCTGTCTGTCCGGTTCACTGCCTGTCTGTCTCTCTGGTTGGCCGGCCGGTCTACCTGTCTGTCTCGCTGACATTGACTTGTACTTTATGAAATATGATGATTAGATGGCACCTCATTAAGCAGATGTCAGGCTGTAAGAGAGTCTACTCTTTATTTTCCATTGTGGTCCAAGTCATCACATTTGGAAGGAAATGCTGCGGCTGGACTGTTTACAGTGCTTCTTAAGCAGAGCCAAATTATTTAGACTGCGATATGACAACAAAAGGTTGAAGGAGATAAAAATTCTGTGTCAGAAGTGTAAGAATGTGTCTATGGGTTTACCTGCAGATCTACGATCTATGTTAATAATTTAAGTCATCTCTCAAGCATACAGTCAATTATTTACTATTTCCAGCTCCTCTAACGTAAGGGTTTGCTGCTTTTCTCTGTTTTATATAATTGTATGGGAGCTTGTGAAGGTTTTCATGGTTTAAAGGATTGATTGAATTTTAAATAATCAATAGATTAATAAGTCATTAGTTGGAGGCTTAAAGCTGGAGACAAACCTGAAGACTAGCTGATCCAGGTTTTGGCGATTAAGATCAAGGTGTTACGGTATACCAGGGTATTTAGAAACTTTCAATCCTGTCAAAAATGAAGACGCTCCTTCCTATCAAACTGATACAGAGATGCTGTATTAAGGTGATGTATAATAATCATAATAAACTTTATTTATAGAGCATTTTTAAATGTGCTTAACATGAATCAAATACAAGTTAAAACATGAAAACAAAACAAAAAAAAAAAACACTTCTGAGAAATAAGTCATTTCAAAATTATATTAATAAAATTTTATATTTTAAAATAAAACCAAGGTACGTATCTGGTACAAATGGTATGGTACAATGGTAATATGGTACAAATAGGTCTGCAATATAGCAGAGGCAAGACCATATAAAGCCTTCAATGTAATCATCAAAATCTTAAAATCAATTCTTCAACAAGCCCTCAGTGTAGGCGGGAGACGCTGTGTGAAACTGCCCGACATTGTCGACGTGTTCTTTTTCCCAGCAGCAGGTAAACATCACTCACAGAGGAGCTTTCGCTGCAGCCTTTATTCGCTAACAGACTTTAACCTGCACTGAACAAGCTCTGAAGGCATCTTGAGTCGTGACAAAATATGTGATAGGCCACGCCCACTCGTACCAATATCAATAGGACACTCCAGATTTGGTTAATATTTAGCCCAGAGCATGCACACCAAAATTGGTGACACTCTGTCCACCTTGTTTTCAGTGGCGCCCCCTATGGGTCGGGCTCAAAATGCTTTGGCACACCTTTTCCCAAGATTTATGATGATTGGACAACTCATTGAGTTAAAGTCAGAGCCCTGCCAAGCCCCGCCTTTTGCTGGCATATATTGGTTGATGGTGGCCATGATTCTCCACCAACCAAGTGTGTGTGTCTCAGTCTCAATGCTGTTGTCCAAATCTGGTGTCGATAAGAGTCAAAAAAAACACCTGGCCTCATATTTCTGTGGAAGCACTTGAAGGTCATTGCAAGTTATTGGGCCAGGTTTCATGTTTGTAGCTCATTCCAGCTCTTGACATAATAATAATAAAAAAATAAAACACAAACTCAATAGGGTTCTGGTGATTTGAATTATAAAAACATAAATAGAATTTAACAAACCATCCATGGATTTGACATTCCTCTATCTTGATGCAAAGGAGGAAGCAGTGACGTAGCATTTAGGGAGGAGGTCTGGGTTGTTGTTTTTATTTCGGCACACAGTGTCTGACACTGACTTAGACCACTGTTTGCGTTCTGCCTCCTACTAACAATAGAAGTTGGTTTCTTTAACGATGACTATAATCTTTTTCTCAGTTTATCAACCAATTTTGTGCCCAAACCTCCACCAGAGGCGTAGCAGATCACAAAACAGCCACTGTACAAACACTGCCTAATGAAATCATACCGAGAGAAGCACCACAACAGAAATGATTAATACGGGTCTTTTTGGAAAGCAATTATAATGAATTGTGTTATTTAGTTTGGGGGAAATCTGCCCGCAAAACAGAAAGAGGGCACTGTTTTTAGAGTTATTGCTTTTTGGTAGATGGTAAAAAGAGAGAAATTTCACTTTCAATAATGCTTCATAAAATTGTCGAGCAGTTGATTAAAGGAAAATGAATCATTTATATATAACCTTATTTAGTCAGGTAATCTTTATTTAATAAAAAATTCCAAACAGTGGCAGCCGGTGCTTTAAGGACTGAAGTGAAGCGCTTGTAAAGACTGTGTCACTATTTTGAAATGTAAAACTAAAAGTTGTCCGTTTTGCAAACCGGCTTTTTGTTCATCAGTCATCACTCGTTGAAAAGTTAGTTTTGTCTAAAATCCGATCTTCTGAAAATAAAAATGATAATGATTCTTTGTCATCTGCTGTCTTTCACCAAGGATGTGGAGAACAAAATCAAATGAGGAACCAGACATATGATCTTTAACGGACTGATGGTTGGCTTAATAGAAAGGCACGCGTGTCTGCTGAGATGACAGGCTGCCTCCAAAATGGATTTAGAGAGACATGACGGGGAATTATTGACTTTTGTTGTGTTTTACAGCAAGTCAGAAAAACTGATGACAGCTGATGGTGGCTTTGTGTGTGAATGAGAGAAAAA